TTAAAATATTTTCTATTCTAAATTCAGTTTCATCTTTAAATTCACGCCTTTACTATTTTGTGTCACTGTTTGTGTGTGTAACTGCGAATGTTTACTCTTACATGTAGTGCCATTTTACTCCTTTCACTCGTTGTTTTTTTGGCTGTAATATATCCTTTGTGCATTTATTCGTGCATACAAAGCTAGCTGACCATTTCGTCCTCACGGATTTCAACGCTGATCAATTGTGCAAATTTTTTTGTTTGCACTTAACGCTATTTCATGTCCTTCAGCAACTTTTACTTATTTTTAAGCGCAAAAAATCCTTTTTCGGTACAATTTTTTCAATAAAATTCACTCCCTCTCTTTCGTTGTAATTTTTATTAAAATATTTGCAATGTAAGTGGGCGTTAATTAAGCGCCACTTTATTTTGTTGGCAATGAATTTTCACTTTGTTGCAAAACTTAATGCGAATATTTGCATTATTCAGCTTTCCTCAATGCTCTGTTCACTTTAGTTTACTTCAGCTGCATTTGCAGCATTAGCGGTTGCAAGGACGAATTCTGTATTTTTGCATACAGCACTTTTTAAAATTTCAAGCTCTTTTGTTAATAAAATAAAATTAACTATGCAGATGAAATGTTTCTATGAATATCCTTCTATGAGGAATTATGCATACGCAGCCGAAAATAATTCTTCTTCATAGTCGGAAAAATGAAGTAATGATGCTTAGTATCATTTATTAAAGAAATGAATTACATACTGAAAATGTCACACTACATACGAAATTTAGTACATCACTAAATTCACCCTACTTAAAACTACCTAATCTCAGAAAAGTCTCTAGCCGCACGAGGCGGTACGCAGATCGTAGATCAGTCATCGAATAATCACGAAGCTTATGAGGAATACACAAATTAGTCAGTGAAAAGGGTGGGACTCGGGCACTAATTCAAGCACAAAATGCAGCTTAAGCCTATCAGCCCATTGTGTTACCGTATAAGAATACAAATGGTTTAAAAACCTCCTAGGACTGTAACAAATTCTAATATGCTCTTATGCTCTTTAGAGAGTGATCGTGTAGTAGGACAAGATCCTCAAAATAAATCGCCTCCTTCAATAATTAATCAGCGCCGTGCATGCACAAATAGATGTGAGAAGATTGATTAAACAAGAGATCTAAACGAGCATATATTCTACAGAGCTCAAGTATACGTTTAGTGCAAAAAAACCAAAGTTATTAAATCAAAAATCATCAATCAACTGAAATTAATTCATTCTCAAATTGAATGTAGCTATATTACCACTTGCCTCAACATTTTATACATTTTTCCAAAGCTGATTTAGGTATGATCCGTAATTCAGGCTTGCGGGATTTTTACCCAAAGGCAGAGTTTCTTCAGGAAATATATATGTATTATGCCGTACTCCATTTGCAATATTTTCATAAAATTTCCATTATTCTGTATTTTTGTTATATTGTATTGTAGCTCATTGATAATTCTGCGAATTTCAATTTCGTTCTGTCGGATCGCTGACTGTCTTTGGGGTTTTATTCTAACATTATATGACATATTTCCTTATGAATTCTTTATTAAACGTTTATAAAACTACCTTCTCTCTAGTAGTTATTTTAGTTTGTTATTCATAGTAAATAATGTTATTATTTTAGTATAATTTTGTTCTGTCATATGTATATTTTCAATATTTTGTATAACAGAGGGTGCTACCAAAATCATCATTAAGTATAGCGCTGGGTCATATGTATAGTTCAATATAATCAGCTTATAACGTTTAATAAAAAAAGAATAAAACTAAATGGAAGAGGAATTTCACAAACAATTCTAGTATAAGCGACATCCGTATAATCCCTTTCTTGTTAATATAAATAAAGAGATAAAGTGAGCTTAGGTAATGATAGCAGACAATCTGGTTGATCAATTGATGTACAATTCACTAGTCTATTGTGACATTACTGCATAACACTGATATTACTAAAGGCGAAATTTTAATAATAATAAATTTTAATAATATTATTAATAATTTTTATTAATAATATGAATAGAACTCTGGCTTGTATTAAAAATACAAACAGCTTACATTGTTCCGCAAGAAATAATATAAACTTCAAGGATCTACGATTTTCCACATATATTTTATATTTCGCCTTTTTTTGTTTTGAGTATTACGAGATAAAACTGTATCCTTTCGTTTTCCCTTAATACACATGCACTCAATGCACTTTTCTTCTGCAACTAAGAATAGTCATAGGTGGGAGTTGACATCATGACACATCGAAGCACTGTGCAAAACTTACTATGGAGAAATAGCGAACGTTTTAGGTGGCTATGTGTGTAATAATCTTAATTTGAAATTTAATTTAAATTTGTTGTCAGATGGAAATTTTATGCATGAATTTTGTGTGGTGTTCCCGTTCGGTTTTGTGCTTTCTACGACATTGTGCCACATTCAAATTCATTCAATTTTTGTCTATTTTTACGCCCGCATTTTGCACACCTGCACGAGGAAAATGTTCTGTAACCAAACCATATCAAACCAAAATATTCGGTACAAGAAAAAAAAAATTCTACAAAAAATTGGAAGTTTATATCTCGTACTATGTGTAGATGAGAAGATTTGTGCTGACACTTAAGCGCGATGTGCTGGTGCCTTTTTCGTACATCCCATTTAATTGCCTCAGATTGTGGTAGCAACATCAATCAAGTGCAAAATGTTGCCTAACGCAAGGAGTAAACTAAAAAATCGTAGAATCGAAAGACTTATTTGCAAAACTACGCAAGTAGAGAGTGTCGCAGTGGAACGCATTCTAATAGTTGAACTATGTATAATTAATGATAGCAGCACAAAAGGCCCAAAGTTTTTCAATTAAAGCGAATTTCGTTACAAGATTCCTTGAACCTTTTTGCCATGTATGCTTGTATGCTCTTGAATGGAGCTGAGCTTAGAAGGAATGAGACGAATAAGTATGTGTATACATACGCGCTTCCCGCAACTATGATGTAATGCTCCAATTAAGTACGTAGGTGTAAGCAAATTTATTTTTATTGTTTGGCAATAAATTATGCATATCTATGATTAAATTTCACTGAATTGTGTGAGCAGATATATCAAATGCTTGTAATTCCGAAAATGCAAACAATTTTGTCTTTACTCGGATGATTATCACTGTGTGGAATATTTTCTTATATAAAAATATTATAAGTTTTTGAGTTAACAGTGATACGTAAGTTAATTACAGAAATCTTTAAATTTAATATCAGTTACATTCTAATGAAATATTAGTAGCAAAAGTATTTTAGCAAACATATTTTTTTATATTCAACATATTGTCTCAACAAGTTGTTGTATGTTGTAGCTGAAAGTTGTATCTTTCAAATGTGGCAACCGCTAACGAATTGCTGGAAAGGTAAATAAAACATGGAAAAATAGATAAAAAGGCGAAACCAAATGTTTTACGTTTCTAATTAATTTGAGAATGGTTTTTGTTTTGTTTGTTAATGGAATAATTTATACACATTCTGTATCAAGGACATTGTTTCAGAAAATGTTATTACCTGTGATAACCGAATCCATGCGTTTTTGTTAAGTGAAAATGAAAATAAATAAATATATATATGAAATTTATATAAAAGTTATATATATAACTCAATTCCATTACTATGTATAAGATCGCAGCTTTACTGCAGTGTTTCTTTTTAATTTTATGAGTGAGCATCCCAATCTACTGTTGCTTAGAATGTAATGATGAAGAGTTTATTAGTGATGTCTTCTTTAGCGCTAAGCAGAATGTGAAAAAAAAAATTTACTTGTAAGATAAGATTAAGGCAGCAGTTAATAGAATTTGGGCCTATCGGTTATACCTACTCCAGCTTCCATTGCTATAAAGAACTGTAGTATTGTTGTTATTATTTAAAATTTTTTGCAAAAAAATATTCTTGGATATAGCCATATTTTATTGAGGATATTAACGGTTTGCTTAGTTTTTGTTAATTTGTTTTATATAATCTATTTACTACCAATACCGTATGAAATATAGTTACCCACGTTAATAAACAAGGGACTAAGGAATTAATGTCTAACAATTTATTTCAAAATTTGTTTATCTGGAGCTATTAAATCGCACTGATTTTAAAACGGCAGTATTAAATATCAATATATCGACATTTTACTACATCTTGTTATTCTTAAAAGAGTCTTAAGTTTGATTAAAGCTGTGTGGTATAAATTAGTGTTTATCTAACCCATCTAAATTGTTAGCGTTGCTATGTTATCCAAAAGTGATCCTAATTATTATTTGTATATATATAGTTTTACTCTAGTTTCTGTTTATAATAAAATGATATGTTGTTATTATATATACAATGTATATATAGTATATAATAATATATTATATTATTATATAAAATAATATATTGTATATATTGCAATGCAGTATAATAATAAATAAATCTATCGTTCGTAATATTTTCCTTATAAACTATTACACTTTTAAAACACTGCAATTCACTCACAAGGTAAAGTGAATGTTAAAATATTTACTCTGCAAAGTCAAGTTAAAATCATGAACCATAAAGCTTTAATAGTTGACAACGAAAGCTTTTATATAGTTTAACTTCCGGCACAAAAAAGCCTAACTCTTTAAACTTCTAAACGTACTAGATTATGTATTTTTCAGCAAATCCTTTTCCATACAGCTTTTATTCGATTGGTATAAAATGCATAATCAAAAGCTATATTCCACTTCAAATTAGCTACTATAAAAAACCTTGAAAACTTATAAAAGCTCTTTTAAAGCCGCACAACATATATCTTACAGAGTGAGTCTGGTATAAAAGCTATAATACTTTCCTTCATTTTGAAGCAAAGAAGTTTGTACTTATAGATTTTCATTTTCGTTAAGTAAAAGTTACCGCATATAAACTTCATATTTTAGATAAAGCTATATCTTATTATATATTTTTTAAATAATAATATTCCAATTTTCTTCACATATTTTCAGCATATTCTACAGCAGCGTTACTTGCAATAGTTTTTGCTATTCCTTTTGGTATACGAATGCTTGTGCACAAGGACAGAGGACAATGGGAAGAGTTTGGTCCAGCTTTCTACACAGCACACTTAGAATTATTTTTAGGCAATGGCTGTTTAGGTAAGCTTTTCACTAAAAGCTTCGTATGAAGAGTTAACGCAATAAAGTTTTGTTTCGACATTTTGACAGGTGTTGGTGTTATGATGCTTTTGGTGCTTACAATTGAGCGTTATGTGTCCGTGTGTCATCCAAGTTTTACACGTCCTGTGATGGGACCACCAGGGTTAGTAAAAGCTTTCATAGCTTTTCAGAAAACTTTTTAATGTATTATCTATCTCCTATCGTAGTCTGATTGTATTTTTAACAACGCTGGTCACCTTTATCATTTATATGCCAAGCGTGTTTCGCGGTGAACTCATCAAATGTGAGCTGCAGGCAGATGGCAATTTAGTATATTTTCGTCGGGATAATAATGCATTCCTTCGAACTATTTTCTATTCAGTAAGTTTAAGTATATAGATTACATTAACATGCATACATACACACAAACAGTCATATATATACAAACACACATACACAAATCGAATTTCTTCTGCTATTCGCAATGATAATAATAATTACAGTTGAACTTGTAATTTGCCTGTTCGCTTTATAAATTTCCAATTTCCTCAAATTTAGGTTTACAAAGTTATGCTGGAGGTGATATTTAAATTGATTCCCACCGTTCTGATTGCGGGCCTCAATTTGCGTATTATGATGGTGTATCGTCAAACTTGCGAAAAGCGACGTAAAATGATACTAACGCGTTCCACCTACATTAAGGATGATGATCCACGTAAATTCGCAGAAGAACGAAGACTATTTTTACTTTTAGGTAACATTTACACATAGCTTAATAATGCACACAAATGCTACAGTCAAGCAGCAATTTAAAATATTTTATTTTATTTTGTATTTATGCTGTCTTTTATTCTCATTTGTATTTCACAGGAAGTACATCTATTTTATTTCTGTTATGTGTTTCGCCAATGGCCATTTTGCACATGACAATTGCATCTGAAGTTTTACCAAGTTTTTCATTTCAGGTGAGTAGTTATATGGGCCAAAAGTTGTGGGCTTTATAGTCATTTTTGTATTTTCTATTAAACGGAAATTGCATTTGCATATATGTATGTAGTTAGTATTCAACATACTGTATGCCATGTAGATGGATTTTATGCTGTCACAGCTTGAAATTTTTGGAAATATTTTAAGTTTGCCAGGACACAACTTTGAATTTCTACTTTTAAGTAATACACATATTGATTACTCAGACGATATAGAACGATTTTGGTGTATTTTTATAATAAAAATTAAAATAAAGACTATGTACGGGTTTATTAGATTTCAGCAGAGTAGAACACTGATTGTCAATTTCATACTGTTCATATAATTTTAACACGTTCTTTAGTGCCTAGATATAAAGAATATTTATTTTTCTTTGGATATGCTTAAATATCCATAAAAGAATATGTACCTCCACTCCTAATTCACTACTCTTCTAATAGGCACATATTTTGACACATATTATTGAGCAACACTGTTTTGACCAACATGACAAGGCACATAAAACCACGTCAACGTGACCAAATTTAAATCAAAATTGTTTTCTTTCCTTTAATCTCAATTTTGTAATTAAAATTGACAACAAGGACAATTTCAAATTTGATGTGTCTATAATACTCTCTTAAACTTGGCACTAGGGGACATGTTATGTTAAGTGTCACGGTCGAGCTATGACGAAAATGCATATTATGTAGAGTGTCACATCAGTATTGCCAATTGCATATTCTTACAATGTTTTGGTACTACTTGGTGGTGCCTCAATTTAAAAAAATGTAGATATGCTCACTATCAATTTGCCACCAAAAATAATCAGCAAGAAAAAAGTCATAGAGGCTGTAAAAATGTTAATTTATTATTATATTTTCTTATAATAATTTTTAACAGTACTTATAAAATAAATCAAAAAGTGTAATAATTATGTTATTAGCAATTTATAAAATAGGTTGTGTTGCTTACTAACATTTTTTTTTCAAAACGTATAAAAATTGTAGTATTTTGCTCCTAAAAGGCGCAGATTCTGTCATTTATTACTGAACAACATTGCTTTGCCTAAGTGCCAACGCAAAGATAGCCCGGCTTCCATGACCAAATAATGTTTTTTCTCTCACTCTTAATTCCTTCATGGAAACCATATCTTCATGGAAACGTACCGTGGTTGGTTGGTTAGCTTATGTTAGATAACTTTCTAGTTTTGCTGCTACATTCCCCGCAAGAACCCTAGTATAGAAGAGTGGAGATTAAATCCATTCCGCCGAATTTAAATAATTTAATAGGTCTTTCGTCTTTACCGATGAACAGTTTGATAAACTATCAAAAAAGTATCTTCCTATCTTCGAATCTATATTTTCTGGGCATTCATAGAGAAAATGTATTAGGGTTTCTTTTTCCTGCGGATTTCACCAACTTCTGCAGTAAGAGTTATGGGAAATGCGCGTGGGTTTCTACACAGCAATGATAAGAGAGAACTGCAGTAAGCCTTACAGTGTTTACGCGATCTCTTTTGATGAGTTCCGAAGATCTATTTTTATTACATGACTTAAGGGAAACGTACTATAGTCTGAAATTGCATTCAATGAAAATAAAAACTGACCTAACCAAAAATTATTTATAATCAAATTAATTTTTCTCCACAATAATTTAATGAGTTCTACAGGTGTTTCGGGCACTAGCCAATCTCATGGAACTAACAAACTACTCTATCACCTTCTACATATATTGCCTATTCAGTGAGGACTTTCGCAATACCCTAATGCGTACAATTAAATGGCCTTGGATTAAAACAAAATTATGTCACCAAGTGGATGAGGTAAGCGGAAAATGAATGTTGCGTCTCATTATAAGTACAAACAGTTTTTGTTGAACGAATCCCAATTGGAAAATTAATTAAAATTCAAATGTCAATAGGTTTCCACAAAAGCGACGCCACTAATGAATTTTGATAAAATTGCGTTGCGTAATCATCATATAACGACCACATCTGGTGTGTGCACCGGAATGGGCCGCTCGAGCAGCATATGATGCATTGATAATTATTTGACTGCGTGTTAAACTCCTATTATGACACTATATATATACACACACATCTATATACGAGTATGTACTAATCATGTATATGATATTTAACTTGTAATTATATAAATTAATATACATAAGTAATTATATTAAAAACATACTAAGTAAATGTTATTATTTAAGAACAATATTCCGTAAGTTAATTTTAATTGTAATTATTTTAACAAACCATGAGAATAAAAATAATGTATTATATATATGGAAAATATATATAACATATATAGTAAAATTACTGAATGGTCATCAATTGATGTCGCAATTCTGTGTTCATTGTTATAAAAGATATAAGTTAATTTAATAATGTTTTACAAAAATATATACAAACTGAAATGTAAACATATATACGTATTTTGGGAATATATAGATTACTTTATTTTATATATTTAAGCTTGGAGATGTCATGAAATGAATTCAATTGCTCATTTCCAATGGAAAACATTGAAATATTTGTTAGTTTTAAAGGAATGACTTAACAAGTGGATTATTATTTCAAATTGTATTGCAATATTTATACATAAAATATATACATATATATCATATATATGCCATAGCTGATTTAAGTACATAAATGTCAAAATTGCTTATATGCCTTAGATATATGTAATTAAAAATATTCAAAGAAACATTTTTAAATCAAGAATAATATGAATAGTTAAAATGCAGCCAAAAATTGCCTAAATATTAAAAATGAAATAAGAAACCATATAATTTAAATATAATATATGTATTTATATATAAATCAGTTGTGTGGAATAAAATGCATTGCTAATATTATATATTATTATATATTATATTACATTAATGCCAAAATTTCGTGAAACGAATTTTGCAACTGAATTAATTTAAAATAGTTACTTTCTTAATTAATTTAATTTATTTAGTTAATTATATAAATAATTATTTTATATACAACCCACAAAAAATCGTAAATTTATGAGAATGTTTATTTTGTGGTTGCTTCATTAAATCATTTTATATTCATATTGAAATCGTTTTAAATAATGTAACTTTCACTTATATATTATGAATAAGAAATAAACTAATTTATTCATTTATTTTGTGCTACACTTATGATTTCTTTCCCCATATAATTTTAAGTTGATCTTTTCCTTTCTTATACCCAAACAAAGCAAATCTTGTTTATGTGAAAACTCAAAAGTTTTTATTGGTCTTAAAACTTCAGATGGCATAGTGATTATAACATAGTATGATGTATCTAGTAAAATTATTTGGAAAACATACTTGACTGGAAGAAAAAATATTTCACTGCAATCTGAATGTACTTATCAAATTGCTAGTCAAATATCAGTGTCAGCCTTACTAACACATATTTTCCATAAAATAAGCAGAGCTTGAAACAAAGGATTAGGAGCACTGAACATTTCAGGAACACTGAGTATTTCATTCATTTATTGAAATATCTTCCATTTTAGTTTTTCTCTATGCCGTATTTCCGTAATATCCATGTGTTGTCATGAGTAGAACATAGATACCAACAGCTACTCATTCCGTTTACAACGAAAGTCACTCACTTAGTCCTTATGAAGTAGATAATTTGTAATACTGCAAATAATTTTAATAACAATCCAAACAGTTCCTTTGATCCGTTTTGAGAAAAATATTCTAGCTTTCACTAGAAGGTTGAAAATCATCAGTTCGGTTGAGGTTTTTTGCATAAACCATAAAAAATTGTCACATTGTTCCATTGTAATGACAGTCCAATATCCTGTAAAATTCTGAACTATACAGTTAAGAATTATAAAAAGAGTTCGTTCGTTCCTTTTTGAGTGTAAAAGGATATACTCACTTTTACCAGAAACTCATTTTCACTTCTATTTGGTAGAAGTCCATTATTAGCATAATAATTTGAACTTTATGACAGTGTTTTCCTCAAATAACAAACCAGAACTGTGTGAAATTCTTATGTTATGTTATTAGTTGATTTGCTCTGTTTTGAAGGCAGAGAAATATTCTAACTTTCACTAGACGTGCTGACAGTTTTCTGTTTAGGTGCAGTTAATTGTTAGCATAAGGGATTAACCACTGTGGAAGTGTGCTGCTTTAATGAAAACTGGAAACCCTGTAAAATTTTGATGTGATATTATCAGTTCTAAGATTCTACTCTTTTGAGTTTAGAAGCACATTCTTGTTATCATTCGACGACCTGAGTAAATTTTATTTAATTCGATTTGGTTGCTGGCACAAAAGATCAGCTTTTGTCATAGTGCTTTGCTTAAAGGTCAATCTAGAACCCATTGAAATTATGATACAACCTTACAGTGTGTTGTCTTCTTGCTTTGTTGTATTCTTAATATGATATAGATGAGTCTGGTAATGATTGTAGTTTGACTCGTGTGTTTGCCGTCACAATATTGTCCTTTCGATGCAATCAATCTTTCGTGATTGTTTATAAATTACTATTTTCTCCAGATTTGTCTTTGAAACGATAGTTATTTTATTTTCTATTTGTATTTATTTAATTATTCTATAAAAATCTCAGCTGCTAACATTGTAAATAATTGCAGATACACAAATGTGTTCAGTATAAATTAAAATAATTTAATAATTCATTAATATCCGAAGTAAAATGCATTTGTATGAAAAAATAATATATATACTAAGAAATAATGAATTAAATTTATAGTCCAATTATTGAGAAAATTTATCAATCTTTACTTAAACTGCCTGTTGTTGTATTTTTCAAGTATTTTATTTTAGATATTAATAAACAACAAAATATATATTTACATAAAAGAAATTAAGAGAATACAGTTCGTATAAATACAATATAACAAAAGTTGAAATATAGAGCCAAAGAAAAATATGTAGAAATCAGATATTATTTTTATTAATTTTTATATACATAAATAGACATTTAAATTTCAGTAAAAAATAAATAAGCAGAGATATGAAAGTACCTAACACATACAATAATAATTAGATACAATAGCGTTAGTAATTTAGAACTCTCAACTACAGATACTTTATACAAAAACCATTTAAAATATGAAAATATGAGAAAAAAATTATATATATATATATATACATAAATAAAATAATAAAAAGAATATTTTTAATTAATAATTGGGTCTGCCTTGTATTCAAACAAAAAGCGTAATTTGGTTAACAATGAAAAGTTAGAAAATTTTTTGTAATGATGTGATTGTAACAAAGAATATAGCAGATATATTAGTAAAAGTCAAAAAGATTTGTAAGATTAAAAATCCAATAAAATTGTTAAAATATTTACAAAAATTCTAAAGCGTAAAAGTGTCTAAAACACAGTGTCAAGTTGGTTACTTAGAAACTTTAACGACTTGTGCACCCTAAAAAAACTCGAGCAAAGTTACGAGTAATAAAAAGTATTAGAATCTCTCCATACTAGAACCTTCAACCTTCAAAAGAAAAAGTTTATTCTACTTATCAAAGTTAAATTATAAAAAAAAATCTAATTGATTTATGCAAAGTTCACGAATTCATTTAGACTGAAATAACAGCGAAGTTAGCAACTGTGCTGTAAATTTTAGATTAGTTAATAGTACGGAAAGGTAAAATTGAGTTTGTAATCTCATATCCATTGAAAGTTTATGATCCTTCTTATTTCTGTTTGACATTTATTGTAATATACATTAATAAATATAAATAACTTTCTTCTCATAAAAAATCTACGAATATTGTTAAAATATAAATGTGTATACCACTAAATTGTGTTTATTATATACAAATACTTATTATATATATAAGGAAATATATAAATAAATAAAAATTCAAAATAAATAAATAATTTACTTCTTGAAAAAACTAAAATATCACAAATATGTTTTTCTTTAATTAATGATATAATAATAATAAATCAATCAATTTTCACACACGCTTCAAATAAAGACAGGATTTGGAACACTTAAAATTTGCTTCAATTAACCCCCTTATACAATGTATCTAGATTTTATCTAAAATGAAAATCATTCGTTACCCTTTTTATTTAATTTTGTTTATATTTTTAAAATTCGTTTCTTCTTATCCAACACAAACCTATCTTACAGTCAATATATGTATACAATATACATATATCTCCAAACTATTTTTAATCATCTATGAATATTGAAAAGTATGAGATAAACTCGTCAAAAATAGCTGGTGGGAAAAGAATTTCCATGAACTCCGCAGCCACTTAAATTGCACTGAGCGAAAAGGATAAAATGTTTCAGCTAATTGACAACCCTAAAACGCCCTTTCACAAAGCACAAGTGTGCTTATCTTAAAATGTCAAAATGCAACAACAGATTCAATTTTGTTTCGCGGTGCAGGAAGGACCGAAGACTGACAAAAATTATAACTGAAGTAATTTTGAATAATAAAAAAATTATATATATCGCACCATAAAAAAAAGAGACCGAAAAGAAAATCAATTATTTTGTGTAATAAAAAAGGAAATAAAACCCTATAATATACAGTAGAAGAGACAGCCCGACATACACAGAAAGAAAAAAAACCACATGTTCAATATTCCCATGAAACTATAAATAGGAACGCCACATTCTACGACGACTATATTAAATAAAATTTTGAGCATTTTATGCTTTAAAATATTTAAGAAATGGCTCATGGGTTCAAGTGCAGCACCATGTACAAATGTACAAAGTACAAGAATGCACCAATGCATGTAGTTCTTTCTCGATACTAAATGTGTAGTAAAATCATTATTAGAACATCAACATATTATGAACGGGAGAGAACGCAAAGTGTCTTCACAGCATTTATTTTTAGCCCAAACAGAATACAGTTAAAACATATGTGACACTGTTTAACAGTATCACTAAGTATATATTTATAAAGATATATCCATACAAATATGAAAATATTACAGTGAGATGCAGTAAATCTTGTGCATGGTGCATGCCTAAAATAGAAAACAGTAGAGGAATTAAAATCACACCACCTACGATATAAAAAACTATTCCAAAATTGTGTTATATTACAACTAAATTCAGAAAAGACAAAATTTTATTTGTTCCTAAAAACAAATAGACTTGATGTTCGGAATAACAAATCAGAATAGAAGAAAATTTAAGAAGAGTTATGTCAACATAATAAAAACCAATATTAAAGCATAAAAGAATATTATATCAGGTACAAGTACTAAATACTTAGAGAGGAAAAAACAAATACTAATGGCAGAAGTGCGCTTCGCTCGATCAGCTAGCAGTTTACTGATGGCAATATCTTCGAAGCTGTCAAAAATATCAACTATCATTTGAAAAAAAAACTTCTTAGTGGAATTGGCTAAGATTACAATAACAGTAAAAGCTAAAGTATAAAAATAATTATATAAAATAGTTAAAAAGTATATAAAAGTATAAAGAACATCATTCTACTTTAATAAGCCAAGAAATCAATATATCCGATACACGGTATTATGGTAAGGTTTTTCCATTTTTTGTACAATCGCTACAAGTTTGTAGGTCGCAAATGCATTAGACTAAGTGTATTATAATTTCAGCTCCTAATTATATTATCATCTTGACAGCGATATAGCAATACGGCTTTAAGAACTATAGTGATATCTTTATGAACCCTCGCAATGCTATTCTATCAACATATAATAGTATTTGGTCTATTTAGTGCTATATACAATGAAGGATATTTCAGCAAGTGTTTTGCAATCTCCTCTTTTTTTTTAATATTCTTACATTCATCATATGAATTTGACCTCAAAGGATAATACTCTATTTTCAGGTAACATTAACAAAAGAAAACTATATATTAATATACACATAAGGTTTTCCTTTAATTACTTTTACTTTCTGAATCCAGCACCGTTTGTGTATCTTTTATTTTTAGCACTTAAGGAAAACATATGTTCATTGCATTGTTTCAATGCTGCTACTGAAAATAAATATATCAGAAGAATTTCTTCCAAAAAAAGAACATACTACGTTGTTGAGATATATTTGAAAATTATGAGTACGTTTTTAAAAGTGAAAATCTTATTTTGAGCGGGAAAATTATTTTTCCTCGCATTTTCAATATATAAGATTTGCTGCGTGAGTAAAATTTTTCACAGTCTGCACACAGAATCGGAAGAGTTAAGAACTTAAAAACTTCAACTCCTGCATCTTTGGATTATTAAAACAAAAAACTGAAAGTAAATGGGTTTAATGCATAAATTATTGAAACATAAAAATTTAAAAATGGATTTATCAAGTACATCGCATGAAAGACTCATTGGCAAAGAGCCAACAAACTCTGAGGATAAACATTTCACAACGGAACACATACTACAATTGTGTAAATTTTTAGCAGAAAAATCGAAAAGAAATGTAACTTGAATAATTTTTTGTAAAAAATTTAAAATTTTTCTATCATTTTCTAATTAAATGCAATTGAAAAAATATAAAATAACATAACATAAACAAAATTAATTAATTTCTCTCAATATTTTAGAAAAATATTTATAAACAACAACAAAGCCCGCGAAAATTAAAACAACACTTGGAATATCATAATAATTCATTTGAATATGAAGAAATATCGGACAGTGAAGATTTGGAGACAACAATTATTCGTCAAGAGAAAAGATTGCCATGCATGGATATGGACATAAAAGGTGAGGACTACACAATACCAGTTCATGCTGCAAAAATTCCAACAACAACGAAGTCACACATTCTGTCAGACAACTTAGATCATCATTTTCAAGCTGTTACAAATACACCTTGTAACACAAGTCAATCCAGTGATAGTGCAAACCAAACTCCTAACCATAATGATGAACAAAATCCTGGAAAACGTGATATATTAATCAAAATTCGTCAACAAATCTTCGAACGTAAACGTCAACGTCATTTAGCACATCTTCAACAAAGGCTGAATGTTTGGAGGCCCTGGTAATTGTCAACCAGATTAAAAGGGCAATATATAATAGACTTTTGAGAGGATCTCAAAATTTGTAAACTTTTATTCCTAAAAAGCCAAAACTAATTTTTTATATCAATCTAAGTATTAGTAAAAATTATTTAAATATTAGAACAAAGTATGAAATTCCGCGAGTGTTAGAAAATCAAATAATTATGCTTCCATTTGATTAAGTGTTCAATAAAATTAATTTTTATTTAATTTTAATTATATATAAATTTGTAATTTTTAAAATACATATATTCTTTTTGTTAAATAAAACATTTTCAATCCACATGTCTTAATCCAATTCATTTCTATTATTTTATTTTTCTTACAGTGAATTTTTTACTTCACGGATTTTTATATATTAGACTAAATAATCAAATTATTTTGTTTATTTACTGGAAGATATAGACACATTGCACTGAGTTATTAAACTAAAAATTGTACTCAGTGACATTCTTAAAAATAAAGGCTTTTGTTATATACTAACATAATTAGCAAAAATTACAAAAATAACTATTAAGTCATGTGATATTGTAGTACGATTTCTTCTATATGTTAAGTTTGCTTGAACTCAACCTTGACTCTAATTATGATTCCTAATAACTATAAAATCGACTAATTGGCTATAAGATGTGAAGAACCAGTTAAAGCTATATAAATTGCATATACATCGACTATTTTAAAATACTAACCCAAACATGAAGGATAAACAGTACACCTATCAAACCACACACGCACGTACATGGTCAGAAAGGTCAGAACTGTGTGGTTTTGCTCTCCCCTTACTGTCCAATGGTAAGTATGGTGATTGTATGGTGTATAGTGATTGATACAAATAGGTCGCATTCGTATAACCAGGCGATTATAAGCTCCTTTTAACGGCTACTATAGTTCAATGGAGAAAATAGAAACATCACTGATCTCACCAGAATGGACTTTATCCATTTTAAAAACTAGAATCTGTCTTTTTCCCGTGCCTGTCTAATATGAAAATATGCGAGTTAGAAAGACTTCGTGTTTAGATAGGGTTTTTTTTTATTCTGAAATAGCTTCCCGAATTAACTACGGTGTTCCTAGAGCCTTAGGTCTTCCTTCCTGAAGTATTTGGCTGATATCACAAATATAGAAAGTCAAAACACGTCGTGTTTCAATAAAATTACAGAGTGATTTCTAAGCTCGAAGTAGCTGTCTTGAAAAATTCAGGATGTTTAATTAACCACGTCTAAAATGATAAGCCATTTTAAAATCCGCTCGTAAAATATCTACCACCACTTTGAGTCTGAATTTATACATAATCTCCCTTCACAAATTTCATTTTATTATCTCCATCAGTTGAGAGACTTGATTGCTTATAAACAGTATCCATGCGGAAAAATAAGCAAATAAAATTTCTTTCAGTGTATTTTCAGTAAATCTTTAGACCGAGAATTTCATAGATGACGATTAATAAATAATTTGTTGAATAACTATCTAAGTAAGGCCTATTGAAGTTGTGACGAGTTAACAAAATTAATCATTGACATTTCCTATTGATTGGCTGATTTTCGATATTATGTATTACATTTGTATTAAATTTACTTTTCAAAAATACATATTATATATCCGCTACTGAAAAAAAAACGTGATTAATTGAATTCACACCAGATTTTATTTTTACTTTAAATTATATATAAGATTAATTAATATAAATTGTTTAATTGTATAATATAATTGACTTACAAATTTACTAAAATTTACGCAAATATTATTTAGCAACTTTAAATGTTAAGGTTAATTTGAGACCTTTTAAAGACTAGATTTATGACCAGTGAGAATATGTTTGTAAGGATATTTGAAATAAAAGCAAATTCCCAGCATATATAACCAAGTATATCCTCCTTCTTTTACTAATCATACAACATAAATGCAAATGAACTTTGCCCCAGATTAACTTGGGGATTACACTTGACATATTTTGCACTCCAAAATACAAGAAAAATCAAACAAAAAAAAAAAAAAATAGAAAAATTAAAAGAAAAATTTCTACTAAAAATGTATCTTATGGAAAATGTAGCGTAAAAATGCCTTAAATACTTGTAGAAATAATTGTCGCTTTTGCACGAGTGGGCGGTAATTCTGGAAGGGAAACGTAATTAATGTATCCTTCGTATATTCAATCCCTATGGGTGGTATTTTATTGGTGTTTTAACTGTGAGAAAAAAGGGTGCAACAGAAACACAAGCATTTCGGAAATTAATTTTATACCCTAATTATGTGGGAATAAAATTTTAGGCTACCAAGAAGTAGAAAAATTATTCAACAAAATTTATATTAAGAGAGAAGTAAAGAAATTTTTTTTTTCTATTTTATAAAACTTTTTACATGTTTTTCAATCAGTTCAATTGAAACATCTTTAAACGAATTTAGTACACATTAACAAAATATGCTGAGTATGAAAAAATCTATTTATATTCAGTTTATTTAAGGATACCCTTTTGGCTTTCAATTCCCTTATCAAGTGTATGAGATCATCGGAGCATGGATGTAGAGATACTTTAAGTGAAAGGGAAAGCATTTCTAATGTGCTCTAATTTACTTATTTCAATGAGAAATATTTAAATATTATCTCATAAAAGTTGAGTAGAATACAAACATTTGAATTAAATGTTTTTCATTTAGTAAAATAATATTAAGTTGAAGTTTTGAAATATTTGGAACTTTAACAATAAAATATTTTAACTGTGAAGTAGAAAATACACTGTAAGTTTCCTATTTTATATTTTCTGAAATTAAATAAGAAAAATTATTTCGAAGAACTTCTATTGATGAAATAGGTATTTAAATAGTGTTTGTCAAAATATATATATAACAAAGTGTTCAAAAAGTTTCCTTAAGTTTTTACCTAGAAATCATTAACTGCACCAAAACCATAGTTTTGATACATATACATTGTGACCGAAAGGTTTTCGGAAATTCTCATTTAAAATTCGCGCGCTGTATATTTTTCGATATTTTA